CCGCCGTACCGCTGCTGCCGCCACGCCCGCTGTGCGACAAACAGCGGCGGCCGAAAGTGAGGCAGACGATTTCTCACGCGGTTAAAGTAATTGGCTTATGTTGGCCGCTTTGCTCGGACGTGCTTTTACGGTCAGAGAGCCGACGACGATCAATACGGTGCATTATATCTCCTGCGTAAAACTATACCAGATGGTTCTGCGCGGCGTGCCATTGTGGTCCTATTATCGACTAGCTTCTAGCCGTATATTCCAGCAGGTACAGCTATAGTTCGAAAGAATGGGTCACACGACCAACTGGCGTAAGATTCTTCGTAAAAATTAGGCGCTTCGTATATAGATACTTGCCAGGATAACGTTACGTGGCCGTTATAAATTTTTCGTTAAGTTAAAACACGGAAATCCTGCTATGTAATGTACTGTAGTTCCGATGTTTTTTGTACTGAATAGTGGATGCCTCCCACGCTGTCATTACCATTGCCACTACCACCACCACCGTCCACCACCACCACCACCACAACAACAACAACAACAACAACAACAACAACAACAAGCGCCACCTCAATCGCTATCGGTACCATTACCACGACCACCACGATCTTTCACGACGATACAGCCACTTTCTATTCAGAATATTTGCCTCTTCTCGTGCGATTCTCCCGCCACGTTATGCGATATCGTCTGCTTGACATTCTCAAGGTTCCAGGACCCCAAAAAAAATCTACGGCAGAGACCCGTTTTTTGTTAGTGATTACTGTCACGTACGCTGACGGATGAGAAGATCTATTAAACTCTAGCAGAGCGGCGCGCCCGTCAGCGTCACAAAGGTTCGCGTCGTGTCGTATGTGTGTGTGCGCGCAACCTTCGCTCCGACTGGACACTTGAATGAGAGGCTAATCTCGGCGCTGCGCAAAATCCTTTTACGGTAATGAATGACGTGAAACCTCCCCCTCCCCCTCTCCCCTCCCTCGAAAGACACCGCTCGGCATAAAACGCCCCCCCCCCGCTGTGTCCGCAGACGAGTGCTCGCGTGCTAACGAGGGCGCCACGTCCGTTGAATTTTCCCGTTCGACTTTACAGCTACTCGGCGTTAAAAAACGTACGAAGAATACGCGCGGTGGGTATGACGGTTAATAAATATCTGCTCCCCGAAAAAATTATTCGAACCCACACCGCATGTTATCAATTTTCGGTTATTTCTGTCGTGTGTTCTTATTTCACGACGTGTGATATTACGTTCAAGTTCGGTCTTGTTTCGGTAAACTTTACAGCGCGTAGAAGAGGCGTTATAAGTGCCCGGTGCTTGCGCTAGGTGGTTAATGCATGCTTGTATAATACGGTTGACTTCCGAACGGGTTTCACGCCTACACGTTCAACATCAATTAAAATTCAAGCGGCTCAGATGTTTGTTAAAGCAATGGCGTATACCTCTCTGAAGAAGAGAATTGGCTGTGCCTTTTTTCCTTTTTCCTCTTTCCTCGATTTCTTTTTACACCATTGTCTTTAGTTTGTATATAACTAGGGAGTCAGTCCATGTCCGTGCGAATCGTTCAAATTGTTACATGTATATTTACACACAGGTATATGCGCACACGCTCGAGCACACACGCACGCAAACGCGCAAGTACACGCACACGAGCGCACAAACGCTCACGCACACGCGCGTACAAACGCTCACGCACACGCGCGCACAAACGCTCACGCACACGATCGTACGTACGCGCA